TTTATAGTTGTTCAAAAATTGTTTTGTGCTCAGTTTTTTTTCTTAATTTATTATTTTTTTTAAGATTTTATTTATTTGACAGACAGAGACACAGTGAGAGAGGGAACACAAGCAGGGGGAGTGGGAGAGGGAGAAGCAGGCTTCCCGATGAGCAGGGAGCCCGACGCAGGGCTCGATCCCAGGACTCTGGGATCATGACCTGAGCCGAAGGCAGACGCTTAACGACTGAGCCACCCAGGCGCCCCTTGTGCTCAGTTTTGATTTAAATATTACCTAAATCTAAGATTGAAACATCCCAATTAGCTTGTAATTAATTCCTTATTTATAAAATGTCCTGTGGTTAATTCCCCCTGTTAGGGGAAGATTTACCTGCAAATTGGGCATTCTCTGACTCTCTCATAAAGTAGCACTCTACAGAATCACATGTATGTTTTCTCCCAATCCCATTATCTAGATTTATTTTCTTTATGTTTATCTTTATATGAAATTATTTTCACGTGTTAGTTTCTTACCTAGCTCAACCCCATCTACTAGTCTCAGATTCTTATTATAACCAAGAGCTTCATATCATTCCTTTGAATATTAGCGGCAGCTGATATAATATTATATCAATACATTATATAGTACTTGAAAATGCACATTGCAATTTTGAAAAAAAAATTGTCAAATTATTTAATTTAAGGAGACGCTTACCAGGATGACTTTTTTCTAATTAATTGGAGCAATGTGCTGGATTTAAAAATATAGGAAAAAATAAATTCAATACCATTTTTAGATGTCTGATTATAGAAAGACCCCTTTTCTCAATGAAAGTGTAAATCTAAAGGTTTTATGAGGGTAGTATGACCAAGTAATACGGTGTTGCAAGTACAGACACAAAGGTTTCTCCTAGATCCACTCAGGACGGTTCCTCTGGCCTGTCAGCATTCTGTCTACAGAGTATTGTAGTGACGGCTGCTGGCAAAGGGCTTGCCCTCCAGGAATATAGATTCTGAGGGAAAAATTAACTCATGGAAAAGACTCTTTATGGGGTAAAAGAAAATGTACAAATAAATCTCAACAATTCCAACCAGAAGAATAAATAATTCCAGATGAGCAATCCATGTGCTTTTATTTTTTTAGATTTTATTTATTTGAGAAGAGAGAAAGCATGAGCAGGGAGGGGGACAGAGCGGGAAGCAGGCTCCCCGCTGAGCAGGGAGCTCGACATGGGGCTCGATCGCAGGACCCCGGGATCATGACCTGAGCTGAAGGCAGACGCTTAACCGACTGAGCCACCCAGGCACCCCGCAATCCATGTGCTTTTATAGTGCCTGCTATGTTAGGGAGCTTTTTATTGAAGAGATCGCTTCCTGATAGTCTTCCAGCCTCAGAAAAAAAAAGCAAGAGTCCCCACTTCCTCTTTCTTCAGTGAAGAAATGGAGGTTTTCCAAGACCACACCGGGCAATGGGGACTTAAGCTGTTGAGCAAAAGTGCTATCATTTGCCACTTGGGACATTTTTTTTCACACATTATTCAACCTCCCCAGTGTGCTTCCATGTTTTCCAGTCATCAACACTGATTGACTCATGTGGGGAAGAGCACCTCTTGAAATTGTCCTGTCGGATTAAAAGTGGTCTCAAAACCAACCGGTCAGCAAGGGTAGAGTAAATGCTATAGGCTGCCCACTTCTGTACTGGGTGCTGTGAGGTATAAGAAAAAGGCCGTCAGATGATAATGACCCTCAAGGAACTTCCAATCTGGCTGGAAGACAGAATTACTGTCTGTGAAATAAGAAGGCAGTAAATATGAATCTGTCCTGGATATTTGAGATGTTACGGTGTTTTGTTTATGTACTTGTATTGAGGTATAATTTTTATACAAGTAGATGCACGGATCTGAAGTATAGAGTTCAGTGAGTTTTGATGAGTGTGTACACTCATGTAAATCACAACCCTATCCAGATATAGAACATTTCCATCACCCTGAAAAGCTCCTTCATGCCCCTTCCCAGCCAGGCCCTCCCACTACCAAGGGCAACCACTCTTCTGACGGCCTTTACCATAAAATAGTTTTGCTATTTCTTGATCTTCATTAAAAAAAAAAAAATTATACAGTTGAATATGAGATTTTTACTTCATTTTCAAGTAAATTCATAAGTTTTATTTGTCACTATTTTGGTAACCTATTTGTAGCTATTTTACAAGGGAAAGAGCTTTTTTTATATACTTCCAATTTTCAGATAACCTGTATAATCTTTTATAGTGGCTGAGTTACTTAGATCTACATTCATGAGGTTATAGTAGATTATCACAAGATTCATAAGTAGAATCAACATCCTGTGCCAAACACAGCTTCAGCTACAAGTTTAAAAATTCAGTGTTCTACACAACTGTTTTATCGAGTATATTCATGACAAGTATCCATGGTCCAAAAATTACAAGTGTCCTTGAAATTGCTAAAACTTTACAATTATTATGAAATTATTATGAAAACTTTTGCCCTTTTAGTAGAGAAGTGTAGATACTAACTAAATTTCACAATGAGAAGGTGATAAGGTTAGATTTAACTTTATTGTCTTGGAATTTATAAACATCAGCAAACCTGCCCTATCTTTCTTTCCAAAAAAAAAAACGTTTGGGAGAGGATCCAGCATTTTATGTTAGCAAAAGTGCTTAGACAACAGCTCGTCATATTCTTGATTGTCATGCCTTAAAAGAAAAACCCTGTGCCCTTTGGTTGCGATGTTAATTTTTCGTTTTATTCTTAACTCTATACGTATCCTGTATATTCACTCTATAACTGTGTAATAGAAGGTTAGAGGAAAGAGTGATCTTTTTTTACTTTAGAAATTTTAGCAGTTTTATAATGGAATGAGAATTTGAGCAATATCTTTAAATACAGAGAGGTAAAAAGGAGAGTGGAAAATCATAAACATTTAAGAGAGAGCATAACATGAGGAAACCTGTCAGACAGGAGCAGAGCCTTAAAGAAATAAAGTTTAAAAAGGAGAATAGTGGGGTGCCTGGTTGGCTTAGTTGGTAGAGCATGGAACTCTTAATCTTGGGGTTGTGAGTTCGAGCCCCACATTGGGTGTAGAGATTACTAAAAAAAAAAAAAAAAAACTTAAAAAAAATAAAATAAATGAAAAGGTGAATAGTGGGAGATAGAAAAACTCTTGAAAGTCAGATAAAGGAATCCTAGAATCTGAGCGGCAGGGGACCTTGGAAACCTCTAGTCTTTGTACTCAAAGCAGGAGCCCCCTCTACCACACCCACATCAGGGGTCCACCTAGCTTCTGCTCATATCGTTTCTATGGGGGAGGGGAATATTACTGCTTTTCCATGTGGCCCACTCTTGTTTTGGACAGTAGTAATTACGAGGCATTCGTGCCATAATTCCATAATTCGTGCCATAATTCATAGGCACTAGGAAGGCACTGTCCATTTTTGAACATGTAGGGTTTTTTTTAAGATTTTATTTATTTATTTTTGCCAGAGAGAGAAAGAGAGCAAGCCCAAACGAGGTGGGAGAGGGGCAGAGGGAGAAGCAGACTCCCCGCTGAGCAGGGAGCCCAACGTGGGACTCGATTCCAGGACCCCAGGATCATGACCTGAGCCGAAGGCAGACACTTAACCAACTGAGCCACCCAGGCGCCGCTGAACATGTAGATTTAATGACATACTCAATATACTCAATATACTTTAGGGAATTTGGTCTGAAATACACCTACCCATTGCATTAGGAAAGGGGCAGAATGAGTCGTTTCAAATAGAGCTTACATTTTTTACAGTTTTATTGAGCTATAACCACATACCATACCATTCACCATTTTCAAGTATACAATTCATTGGCTTTTAGTGTATTCACAGAGTTGTAGATCCATTACCACAATCAGTTTTCAAAAAGAAATCCCCCACCTCTTAGCTGTCATCCTTCCAAAGCTTCCATCTCCCCCAGCCCTAGGCAACCAATAACCTACTTTCTGTTTCTATAGATTTGCTTATTCTGGATATTACATGTAAATGAACTCTTGCAATGTGGTCCTTTGGGACTGACTGACTTAGCATCATGTTTTTAAGGTTCATCCATGTTATGGCATGTATCAATATTTATTTCTTCTTGTTGACAAATTATATTCCACTGTGTGGATATATCATATTTTATTTATCCGTTCATCAGTTGATGGACATTTAGGTTGTTCCTATCATGATTAATGCTGCTGTGCACATTCATGCCCAAGTTTTTGTGTGGATATGTCTTCAGTTCCTTGTGTATATACATACGAGTGGAATTTCTGGGTCATATGGTAATTCTGTATTTAACCACTTGAGGACCTGCCAGACTATTTTCTAAAGTGACTGCATCATTTTATATTCCCACCATTAGTGTGATGAGGGTTCCAATTTCTCCACATCCTGGCCAACATTGGTTATTATCTGTCTTTTTTATTATTGTCATTCTGGTGAGTGTGAAGTGGTATCTCACTGTGGTTCTGACTTACATTTCCCTGGTGGTTAATAATGTCAAGCATCTTTTCATGTGCTTATTGGCTATTTGTATATCTTCTCTGGAGAAATGTCTATTCAAATTCTTTATTTGTTTTTTTGTCTTTTTATTATTGAGTTATATATTCTAGGTAAAATACATACTCTATTCTTTTAGAGATACAAGTCCCTTATCAGAAATGTGATTTGCAAGACATTTGCTCCTTAGTCTCTGGGTTGTCTTTTTATTTTCTTTATAGTGTCTGGGTCAATGTTTTTAGTCCTTTAATTCTTACGTGTTTTTCTTGTTTTTCCTGTTAAATTATAAAATTGTGAAATTTAAATTGTAAAATTCTACAAATCTGGAAACTGCAAGTCCTTTAGATCTCTGTTCCTCCTGTAGAATGGTATATATCTATTAAAGAATGTGTCTCCACAGCTAGCCACCTCTGCCCCTAATTAGATAATTTCCTGGTAGATGATTTGATTTCATTCTTGATGAGCTATGATGGCTTATTGGTTTGTTTTCTTATAGGTGAATCGATTTAGTAAGGTGGAAGACCGAGCGATTTTTGTTACCGATCGTCACCTGTATAAGATGGATCCCACTAAACAGTACAAGGTGATGAAGACTATTCCTCTATACAATGTAAGTGTTCTCTGCTTTCTGAATAAAGGAGTCTTAACGTGGTGTTCTTGGACCACTGTGGGTCAATAGACTGATCACTACAACCTTTCGGGCTCTAGGGAGCCCATGAATCCCTGAAATTTTAAGCCAGTCTTATGTTTTGTACAAATGTACTATTTTCTATAAGAAGGATCCAGGCACACTTGGCTGGCTCAGTCAGTAGAGCATGCAACTCTTGATCTTGGGATCATGAGTTCAGGCCACATGCTGGGTATGGAGAGTACTTAAAAAAAAGAAGAAGAAAAAAAAGGATCCAAAGTTTCCAATAGATTAATGAAGACATTTTAAAAAACAAGCATAAGGACTCTGTATTCTACGTGACCCTTCTCTATTCTTAATCCTACTACTGCTTAAATGTTGTGGCACGTAATGTATTTTCTTACTTGTTTTCAAGAGGTTCGTTTTTATAGGGAAGTGGAATTAGGAGAAAAACAGTAGAGAATTACTTCATGAAAACATTACCTTTCTTTCAGATGTAAAATTTATGCTGTTTCCAGAAGTTCTTTTCACCAGTATATTTTGCCTCTGATCTAAACCCACTCAGTTGTCTTCCATGGGGTTTTCAAGTTCTGTAATCATTTCTCATTTGAAATATGAAATTTGGTGGATATCTCCTTGAATCTCAATATGATTTTTTTTTTAAATTTTTCTCCTGCTATATGTGGTCTGCTTTACAAGTGACTGTCTGTTCTGATTCTTGAGAAAGATCCTTCTGACTAGGAGATCTTTTTGAGTGTCAGGTGATTTTTCTGTATGCTAGTTCCTAAGGAAGGAGGTCTATTTGTCCAATAGTAGAATCTATGAGGAGTATCATTTGAAGATTATTTTAAATCCTTTTGGTCTCTGCAAAAGGGAACAGGAAACATAATGTTTTGTATTTCTGTATTGTTAAATCAGGAGTCCTGTTGATTGTGAGGTACAAAGAAGGCAAACTTTTCCTGGCTTTGCTAAATGATTTAGAATATCACTGCAGGGTTGATTATGGGGTTGCGATTTGTCTCCATTACACCCCCCGCCCCGCGCCCTGTACACACACATGCATCCTTCTCTCTTTCAATAGAAAGGCTAACGGATTGCAGCTAAGAAGAAAATTATATTCTAAGACACTCTTGATTGTATATGGTCTTCATAGCAAACACTTGTAATCTCACATATCAATCATCGTTTAAGCCTAATAACTGCAATCTTAAAGTAGGAGATGAAGGAAGATACAGGAGAAAATCAGGTTTTGTCAAAGTCAAATGAAGTGTGGAACCAAACAAAAAATAAATTGCGGACTGTTTTATTTCTTTACCTTCTATTAAAGGGGAGATCAATCAAAGCACTTGATACAAATTCAATAAATAGCTAAACAACCCTTTGAACTGAAGTTATTTTCCCAAACTGCCATCCTTTTTCATGTTGACTGGTATGCATTTATACTCACTGTTCCCCTTCATCAGTAGCATGGTTGTTAATGTATCAGTAATATCATCTAATATAAAAATTAATGATGTTTAACAATCACAGTAAAGGTAAACAATATCAATAGGATGGGTACACACTATCATGGATGCTATCAGTACTCTGCCCGTGTTTCCCTGTATTCCCTTATCATTTCTGTGCACACCAGCCTAACTTCCACCAGCCAACATCCTTGTCCAAAGGCTGCCCTTAGGCTGCCAGAACTCATTTTGCCTGCAGCCTACCCACAGGTGGTAGCTGATTTAACACTGGGCCCCACTGGCCGTCTTCCCATCCCCGTACCACCTCCCCACACCTTGCCAGCGTCCCTGCACCTCCCAAATCACTTCTGTGTGTTTATCAGCCTTTATCTCGGGGTCTGCTTTTGACAGGAACCAACCCTGGAGGAGTGGCTGCCTCTTAGGAGGGACCAGGTTGAATGGGATAGGGGACTTCCAACCATATCTGTAAAACGGTTTTTGAGTCTGAAACAAATATGGCAAAATATTAAGTATTTATAATGAAAACATGAGTCTTTGTTATTTTATTCTTTATACTGTTTGCATGATCAGACTATTTTGAAATTAAAAAACAGTTTAAGACAAGGAACTTTAAAAAAAATGATAATGCTAATAAGAGTAATGCAGAAAGTGGGAAGGGAGAAAGGAGATGATGTTGGTTTTAACCATGTTGAGTTTTTTCAGGCACCAGTGAAACTTGGAAGTATACAATCCACAGATAAATTGGAAGTCTAATAGAGGGGGGAAAGAATTCAGCACTTAAGATAAAAATTTAAAAGCGGATCCACGTATAATTGGAGGCTGAAATTATGAGTCTAGAGAGAGAAAGGGGGCAGATGATTCAAGAACATTCCCTGTTAAATGGTGAGGAAAGAATCGCTGAAGGAAATGGAGTAAGAAGGAAATCTCTCAATGGGCCTCCATTTGCTCCTCTCTTTCATGTGCTGAATGAATTGTGGCTTCCCTTCAGTTCCATAGGTTATGAATTATTCTAGGAAAGAAAAGAACTATAGGAACGTTGTGTTTCAGAATCAAGTTGGAAAGTTTCCAGAAGTAAGAGTAGTCGATAAGAACAGACAGCTGAGGGTCCCACACTCCTCCTTCTGCACAGGCTCCTTTCCTGTCTCACTTAAGCTTTTCTGGCTCCAAGGAACAGATTGTGACCATACACTCTCTTGAGTAATGTTTTGTTTTTAACGAGGATACACATGGTAGTAAGGGAGAAGAATCTCACAAAGACCCGGGAAAGGCTACCATTCAGCATTTAAGGCCACTCTCCGGGACCCTGTTATCCTCGAGCTCCTGCAGCAACACAAGTGCTTGGAGAGTCTGCGTTCCTGCCATTTCCTGGGGCTCTACTTCTCTCTGGGTGTCTTCTTCCTAACAGCATCCTTGCCAGACAGCACAGGCTAGCACGAGGCTGGGGTCTACATGGGCCAACCCAGGAAACCACTGGAGTGTCATCCTGCAGTAACGTATCCAACACAGTCTCCAGCAGAGTCCTCACCATAGCAACCAATTCTGCATGACCCACGTTGGTACCGCAGTTCCTTCTCAAGCACTTGTTCATCTGTGTACCCTCTTCCCTGACTTTTCCTAGTATAGCATGGATAATTACTACAGTTCATTTAGGGCATGATTGATCTCACCGCTACAATCTTTGACTACTGTCCTTAGGCCCAAGTCATCTTTGGACCTTGGTCACAGATCACCCTGGGGTGGGTCATCAGGAGAGAAGTGCTTCAAATAGGCCAGCTTCATCAGGCATCCTTGGGTCCTTGGACTCTTCCCACTGACTCCTGTTCCAATCTCCAGGATGCTAGTCTTTGTCAAACAGGGCCTAAATCGTGCTCATGGATGCCCATCATGGGTGAGAGTTTCGGCGATGCTGTCGTTTGGCTATGTGTCTAATCAGCTTCTAAACCTGGTCTTCACCAGTGCTTTTTGACAGAATATGTTTCCTTAACTGCTTCCAGCCAGCAACATGAAACCAGTATTTGTTGTTTTCCTAATGCACCATTAAAAGTACTCAACCAGTTTACTATCTTTACACCTCCCAACCCATTGAACTTGTATAAAGCAGGAGCACCTAAGTGCCCCAGGCACTTAACTCTAATGGGCACATCTGCCAGCCTCCAGGGGCTTGGCTGTGATAGAGTAAGTGACTGCTTCCTCCCTACAGACCGGGGCTCTGCATACTGGGTGGAGAGCTCCTCTTCCTTGTTGACGGGCTGCAAACAGGGGCACATCCCATCTGAGAGTGGTTTGTGGCAGCATCCTCGTGCTCATTTCTTTCTGCTAGGTCTTGAGGTGCGATGAACAGACTTCAGGAGACTCGCATAATGGGGAGTTACACCTGAGTTAGAACAGCGGTGCAGGAATTACCTTCATTTGGGGTTTTAGCCAGCTATAACCAGATTGTCTCGTTACAACCTTTACAGTCTCAGTGACTAAACTCTTCATTCAATAAGTGATTACTGAGAACTTATTATGTGCCAGACATATAGGTATTGTGGCACGGAAGCATTAAAATAGTCAAAATTTCTGTTCTTATGGAACTTCAGTGGGGAGCAGCGGACTCTACGTTTATGTATATATGTGTGTATATATGTGTATGTACACATGCGTGTATATACACACATGTACATCATATAATCCATTAGGAGGGGATAAGGGAAGAAATAGAATAAGGAAGGAAGATAGAGGATGTGAGAGTGGTTGTAATTTCACATAGGGTGATCAGGCCTCGCTGAAAAGTTGACATTTAAGCAGAGACTTGAAGGACCTAAGGAATGAGCCATATGTTTACTTGGAGGAAAAGTATTCGGGGCACAGGGAACAGCTAAGACACAGACATGAGCAGGGAGGAAAGAAAGAGCCTTCTGGGAGCTGGAAATGACCAGCTCCGTAGCTTGAGCTGATAGTAGTTATACTTGTGTATACATATGTTCAAATTCATCAGGCAGTCTCCTTGAGATTTATGTACTCTACTGAATGCGTGTTATATATACTCAGTAAAGGCAGAGGAAAGGGGCGCCTGGGTAGCTCAGTCGGTTGAGCGTCTGCCTTCAGCTCAGGTCATGATCCCAGGGTTCTGGGATCGAGCCCCACATCGGGCTCCCTGCTTGGCAGGGAGTCTGCTTCTCCCTCTGCCTTTGCCCCTACCCATCCCCACTCATGCCCTCTCACTCTGCACTCTCTCCTCAAATGAGTAAAATCTTTTTAAAAATAAAATCTAAAAAAGGGGGGAGGAAGAAAGCTATCTGTGAAAGAGGATAGAGGAGGGAGGGTAAGCCAAAGAGAAAGGTGAAGTAAACGAGGCAGGTGATCACTGAAGCCCCGGGGAGATTTGGACACATGATGACACGCGAACCATTACTGTACAGTGTGTGGAACATATACAGTCACATTTGCTCTCTCCTCCATCTAAAGAAGAGTACGTCCCGCTCCCTTGCGCTCGGAGAGGCAGCCCTCCGCTGTTCCTCGGGGGAGAAGAAG